TTTTAATCTATAAAGAGTTTATTATAGTATACCAATATAGTAACATTTCATTTTCTGACTAAAATATAGTAACATTTTTTCATTTCATCATTAAAAATAATCACAAATAAACTCAAAGTTGTTGCTGCAATCGCAAAAATTTAAATACCCAAACTGAGAGCTTCATTAATGCTTTACTGGAACCCAGGAARTTACGCCAAAACAAGTTTACATGAACCTAAAAGTAAATTTTGTAGCTCAGTGAAACACACACGAAGGCTGATCCCAGACCTGCTCGCCCYGCACAGCTAAACTCTGCTGCTCAGGACACTTCGGCATCAAATCTCCTTAAGAGGTTCTGGGATGTTAAACGCCGAGTCAGTCAGCACATTTTTCAAAATCTTCTTTCCTTACAACCTTTAGGTCAGCTTTAAGCCTCCATCTCTTTGCCTGCTTTTCCATATTTCAGCCTTCAGTCCATTTTGCAGTCCTAGAACCACAGTGAAAGAAAGTATTTTAGTGTAAGTTTTTTTTTGTCCCCTAAAGCAGCTGGTTCTGCTTTTTAAAATGAAGCTGTGATGGTTTATTTTATTTATTTATTTATTTTTATGTAACATAGTCTGTGATCAACAGAGCTGCAGTTAATGAATCCAGACTGTTTACTACCTCTGGGGACCAGACAGAGAGGAGGGATGAAGCACAGGAGAAGAGAGCGAGAAAAATGGGAGGAGTTTATCCCCCTCATTCCCCTAAAAAAAAAAAAAAAAAAAAAAAAAAAAAACAACTTTGCTGGAGCCAGTTTTGTTAAGAAGAAGTTACAGGAAATAGAAAGCAGAGTGGATCTGAGAGTAAGGAATGTGTTTTTTCTTCTAATATTGCACATTTGCCTCTTTTCCCCCCTCTTTTTGTTTTTCCACTGCCTAATCAGTGAATCTGTGTTGTTGAGCGCCTGGAATCATTTAAACAGAGAAATCTGTGTTAAAAATTGAGAACACCTTTGGGACTCCGGGCTCAGATTCTTATAAACCTCAGAAATGCTGCAGCACGTTGGCCAAGTTTCCTTGTGGAAATAAGAGGGTTTTCTTCTCTCCTTTTTGTGCTTTTTTTTCCTCTTTACTATTTTCTTAATCATGTTGCAGTGTTTTTTTCCCGACTCTGGAAGGCCAAGGTGGACGATAATGCGTTTGTGTGTTTATGTGTTGGTCTGTTAGTAAAATATCTCATGAACTGTTGRAAAAGATTTAATGAAACTTGCAGAAAGTAGTTGTTGGATACACATCTACAACTTCTTAACTTTTTGGAAACTGCCACAAACACCTGACCTTAAGAAACACAAAATGCCTATACATCAGTCAGTTTTACAGCTCTGGACGTAAGATTTGATGTGGTAGTAGCTGAGACTGAGCCCCAACACAAGGTTCTTTTAAATTAAATTTAACCATTAGCTGTTGGAGTTTGTTCTATTYGTTTGTTAGCAAAATATCTCAATAACCASTGCACTGATTTCGATTAAACTTTCAGAAAATAATAAGTACATCTGTAACTGATGAACTTTTGAAATCAACAACATTAACGATGGCTGTCATAGCAAATTGACCTTATAAAACACAAAAATTACAAATATTCAGTTCATTTTTACAGATATTGAACTCAAATTTGGTGTGGTAGCAAGTGAGAGTTATTCTCAACCCACACTCATTGCATGAGATTTTTACTAAAAACCTTAGCATAAACACTTCTAGTCAAACTTGTCTGTTAGTAAATATCTCATGACTTACTGCATGAATTTTATTTAACCTTTCAGAAAGTAATCATTGGATGCACATGTTCAACTTTTGAATTCAACCCAATTCAAGATGGCCACCACAGCTAATCAATCTTAGCAAAGACAAATGTCTCTATAACTCCGTCAGTTTTACAGATATTGAGCTAAAGTTTAATGTGGTAGTAGCTGAGAGTCATTAAAAACACATCCTCTGAGCGTGACATGGTATTGCATGGGACKTTATCTGTAAGGGTTTATCAAAATGTCTACAACTACATCACAGGCGGCAAGCGATATGCGTTTCTTCAAAAACTGCTGTTTTCTTTTTTCCCCCTGCAGTTTCAGTCAGACCTAAAATATTTGAAAATATTCCATTTCCTTCCCACTTAAACTTGTCCAGTTCTTCAAGAAGAAAATGTTTCAGTTTTTTTTTGCACCGCAGAGGTTCTCCTTAAGATTTACACTCAGTTTTATTGGTTCTTAACTGTTGAACAGTTTTATTCAGACTCGTTTGCTGATTGAGTTTCTTTCCTGGGAAGAGAAACTCACTCTCTCGGATCCCCAGTAAATCAGCACAGCAACCTGTTCACCCTGGAAAACAAACCACAGCGTCGGACCACCACCCTCCGCTCAGAGCTTTGAAAAAGCAAAGTATCTCCTGCAGCTCGACTGTAACCTCTGCGGAAAGTTGAGCTTGCAGCAGCTGTGAAAATAAGAGTCTTGTGGCTTGTGAAGCCCTCCTCTCCACATTTTTCTTACCCTTTCCCTCAAGGTCATGCTCTGTGCAGATGTAATTTTTCTTAATCCCCAATGCCAAGATTAAATGTATTACAAATGCATGAAGAAGAAATCATATCACTGACCAGAGTGAAAACTGAACAAATAATACATTCACGATTCACTGAAATGAATCTATTTTGTTGCATTTTGTGTATGTAGAGGTCCTATGTCATTTACAGCATCTGTGTTGTTTTTGTTTTTATTATTTTAAGTGATAAGATAAAACAACACCAACTGACGAAATTTCCAGTAAATTATTTGTTTTCCTCAGCAGTCAGATTAACGACAAAAATAGTAATAATCTACGGAAACACAGAAATTCATTTGAATGAGGAATTTTTTTTGATGAAAACCTAAACCACCAAATGCTTTCCTCTGTTTTTTTAGGAACCTTTTGAAGTAGGAAAAGAAAAAAGAAATCTGGTAATGATGATACATAACTTAGACCCTCCACAGAGGTTTCTGGTGCACAAAAGAAGATCTAAAACATTTGCAGAGATACAAACATCTCTGAGGGCTAACAGATCACACAAGATCATTGTTTAAAACTTAGGAACACACTCTGGATGTTTAACTACCTCACATCTTCACCTGCTTCTTTTTGGTTTGAACWTTCTTACAACATTGTTAGATTTAGTTCTTTTGTACTTTCTAAAAATGTTGACCCATGCTGGCAAAATGAGTAATTTATTAAATATTGAGTTTTACATCTCAAAAGCTTCAAAACAATATGCAGTTGATTGTTGGAGTGGTTGTTAAAATTGGTGATTTATCATCTGGCAATAAGTTTATTTTATTTATGAAAGAACTATGTMATTGAGACACAGAAACTTCCAGCCAGACAGCTTGCCAGCCATTATCTTCCACTTGTTCCAGMGTGGGGTCTTGGGGGGTAACATCCTGAGTAGAGAAGCCCAGATATCTTTTTTCCACACCTGCCTCTTCCATTTCTTCCAAGAGGACCCTTAGGCATTCCCCAGCCAGATGAGAGACAGTGTCTCCAACATTTCCTGTGTCTCTTCCCAGTTGGACACTCCTGGAAAACCTCACTGGGGAGGTGTCCAGAGGGCATCCTTACCAGATGTCAACTGGCTGGCTCGTAACATGGAGGAGYAGCTCTACTTTGAGTTTCTCCCAGATAACTGAACCTCTCATCTTCTGTCTAAGGGAGATCCAAGATACCCTGCAGAGAAAGATCATTTCGACCACCTGTTTCCAAAATCTCGTTCTTTCAAGCATAGCCCAGAGTTTGTGACCGTAGGTGAGGTTAGGAACTAGACCAACAGGTAAACATAGATCTTTTGCCTTGTACTTCAGCTCCCTTTTCACCACAATGGACCAACCCAATCTGCAATACTGCAGGAGCGGCACTGATCKGTCTGTTGATCTTATGTATTGTTCCCTCACTCGTGAACAAAACCCTGACATACTTAAACTCTTCCACGTGAAGCAGCACATCATTCCCAATGCCCCCAGAAAAGCACATTTTAAAGAAAAACGATAAGGTTTACAAGACAACAGACTGTTTCTGATGACATACATTTTAGAAAACTTTGATTTGAAGGTAGATTAGGGAGAGTAGATGCCCTTTTAGATGGAGCTTTGGTATCTCCGTGGTCAGTGCCATGGTCTTGAAATCCCGAAGCTGCAAGTTTGAACTCTGGTTCCATCAGGAAGGGTGTGAAACAAATTTTTCATATGAGTTTGCTCGCTGTGACAAATATTTTAGAAGGTAGTTGCCAAAAACAAAACAAAACAAAACAAAACAGCATGCTTTTTCATTTACCAGGATCTGTAGATGGTGTCTTTATGGACTCCTTTTTATGCAAGATCTCAACTGCAGCAAAAATCGATAATTGCCCTTTTTTGCACTGCAGCCTGTGCACGTTCCGACTCATTTTACCAACACGGGCCACAATTAGAGGAAGGAAAGAACGAACCGCAGAGAGTTTTGTTAAAGACTCTCTCCATCCCTTTCACACCATTTTATCTTCACTTAGACATCCCTCTACCTTCCACTCCYATTTTCTTCCCATTTAAAAACATTTTAATAGACTTTGCTGTTTTACGCAGAGTTTTGTTATGCATTTACTGTTCCATAAAGTCTGAGGGGGGTGCCATGTGCACATATCGAGGTATTTTGATTTTCTGGGGTTGGGGAATCTTTTTTTTTCTTAGAGCAGATTTTTAGAAAAATAAACCACTTTAGACTTTTAACCGCCACTATGACAACTCAGCACTTATAGAGAGCTCCCAGTTGGTGTTAACATCTAGTTCAATCACTCAATCCTAAATAGTATTACACATTTATTCATTTTCGGTTTGATCTTTTTTACTATTCTTTCGAAGTGTAGTAACACCTCTCCAAGCTTGATGGTCTTCACAGTGCCTCGTTCCAAATCCTAAAGGCATTACCTCACTCTGCGTCCTCCTGTGTCTCCTTTCATCCTCCTCCCCTCCTCACCTCTCCTTCCAGATGTGGAGCAGATGGCCATCGACTGGCTGACAGGGAACTTCTACTTCGTGGACGATGTGGACGACCGGATCTTTGTGTGCGACAAGGATGGCCAGACATGTGTCACCCTCCTGGACCAGGAGCTGTACAACCCTAAAGGCATCGCTCTGGACCCCACCATGGGGTTCGTTTCATCTCGTCACTGCTTCACACAAACAGACAAACTAAAGTTAAAATCTGTTCTCTGATTTTCACATGCAGGGAAGTTGTTCATGCAAAATTAGTCCCATAAAGATGACCAGACTTCTGTTATTTGTCATGGTTAACTTTTAAACAAATAAAAAAGGAGGGCGGAGGCTAAGTGGAGGCTTGGAAGTTGGAGTAATTGAGCACAGATGTTCGCTCTGCTTTGTAACAGTCAGACTATGTAGGTTTTAAAGGGTAAAATTATGTTTTTGTTTCAGTTTTTTTACATATAACCACTCTCTCCAACAACATTCCTGCAGCTTTGTGTATATCTGAGCAGATTTGTCGGGCTGGGTGAAGTGGATGTAAGTGTTAAAGAATTTGTTTGTTTGGGGGAAGAAAAAAATGTGTGTGCCTGCACTGATGAAGGAGTGTGAGTTTGTATGTGTATGTTGCGCTTGTGTGATTGTATCCCACGTAGCTTTCACAGCTGGCGTTTGTTCTTTCAGGAACAGGATCAGGTGGATTCGTTGCAGCTGCTTTTTCTCCCTTCTTTTTTTGATGTGCAGTGAAATTAAAGGGGAGAAAAATAAGAATCGCACAAATACAAAAGCACTTTGTTTTTGTTTGTCTCTCTGTGCTGGGAAATTACAGCAAACCTGAAACCTGCACAAAAACTCAAGCAGAACTCCAGATAATTTCTTTGAATCTTTGTCTAGTTAGTGGTTTGTTTATTCTTGTCTAAATTAAAGGCTTTTATGAGGTTTAGTTTACAAAAACAATCTCAGAATTCATTTGGAAATAGTTTAAAGTTAGACAAATCATTCCAAAAATATGTTGTTTGCAAAAACATTTTTAGGGTTTTTGAGTATGAATTGTTACATGCTGTATGTTCTACTTGATACAAGAATCATTTCTTTCTTTAAATTTTGGAAACGTACAAAAGGTTTTAAAAGTTGTATTGGGAGAAATGCTGAGTTTAAGCGAGTGATTGTCAACTAATGGGCCCTGGGACTTTTCTGGATCACAAATTCATTATTTTCGGTCTGCAAAATTGATAATAAACTACTACAATCTAATACAGCTATAGCCTAGCTCAGAAAAACATGATGTTCGCATTATTTTAGCCAATCAGATTGTTTGCTTACAGCTCTTGAGGTTTGAAAATGGTCTTAGTTGTGCCACATTGTGGGCGTGGCTAATTTTCTTTGAAGGAAAAGGGAAACGTTAGAGAATTTAAGGTCCTGAGTTATTTTTCTATTTTCAGTGTTGGCTAAATGAAGACAGATAACTAGAACAAACTTCTCAGTTCAGTTCATCTGTTAACCATCTGTCCTCACTCGGCTCTGCTCCTCTCTTCCTTTAGGAAAGTATTCTTCACAGACTACGGTCAGATCCCTAAAGTAGAGCGCTGTGACATGGACGGCCAGAACCGAACCAAACTTGTCGACAGCAAGATTGTGTTTCCACATGGCATCACCCTGGACCTCGTCAGCCGCCTGGTGTACTGGGCTGACGCCTACCTGGACTACATCGAGGTGGTGGACTACGAAGGCAAGAACCGGCACACCGTCATCCAAGGCCTGCTGGTGAGAGAAGATATGTGTGCTGGTCTGAATGAGCTAAAAAGATCCAGAGTGGTCCTTTAGAGTTCCTCATACACCTATAATGCCTCTTATGTTACCCTTGTGTCCTCCTGTGCTGTATTCTTGGTCAGTGAGCTATGGGCGCTGAGAGAATGGTGGACATTTGTGTTTTCATTAAATGGGCTAATAAATGGTGTCCAATACTGAGGCTGTTAATGTAGCAGTGTCGGTGATGCACTGAGCCTCTTAAACCTGTTACCAAAGCTTTTAGTGTGATCTGTAGGGAAGTAACAGCTTTCTTTTTTCTACAGAGCCAAAGGGCATTCACACACACAAGTGTGTATTTCTATCCTTATTAGGACCCTGTATTGATTTCTATTTCTTTTTCATTTCTACAGCCTAAGCCCGAATCTTACTCTAACTCTAATGCCCCTCAATTCATGCCTTAGTCCTTAACTTAATGCCTAACAAAAAAATAAATAAATAAAAATAAAAATAAAAACCTGTCTTTGGTCCCAATAAGAACTACTGGTCCTGACAAGGTAGGTGTTTATACCAGAAATAGTCCTAAAAAGAACAAAAAACAGGTGTATATACAGTATACACACACACACA